GATTTTTGACTAGAGTAAAAACATATCATTATACAAGATCACCGTATAGAAATCGTGGTTGAACACTGTTGAGGAATCCCATAATAGGACGAGAAAACCAGCCGATACAACCTGGTTTTCAGTGCCGGTCCATCTAAGATTAGTTTGGAATTTTAATTATGATAATATAATTATGTTGAATATATAATGACTTGAATTGCCTACGCTAATGAAGCGCTGTAAATATAATGTTTGGCAATATTTGAAATAACGCTTTTCTAATTAGATTAAGAAAGCAAACATAGTAAATTTATGATGAAGGTCGCTTAAGACATAGAAACATTGTATTAAACACAATACATCTAACATTTAATTCACAGGAATGCAAATTAATAAGGCGTGAACTCATTAGTCGAATAATGATTTGGAAAATTGTAAAACAAAAGTAATGCAGACTTAAAGTTACCACATAAGTTCACTACTCATTAATTTGCATTCCTGTCAATTAAATGTTAGATGTATTGTGTTTAATACAATGTTTCTCTGTCTTAAGCGACCTTCATCATAAATTTACTATGTTTGCTTTCTTAATCTAATTAGAAAAGCGTTATTTCAAATATTGCCAAACATTATATTTACAGCGCTTCATTAGCGTAGGCAATTCAAGTCATTATATATTCAACATAATTATATTATCATAATTAAAATTCCAAACTAATCTTAGATGGACCGGCACTGAAAACCAGGTTGTATCGGCTGGTTTTCTCGTCCTATTATGGGATTTCTCAACAGTGTTCAACCACGATTTCACGATTAGATCGAGATGTAAACACACTTGTCGTTATTCACCGTGAAACTTGACGTTCTTATAGTTTGTTTTAGTTTTGAATACATCCAATATCTTTGTCACGAACTTGCATAAGCCGATTAATTTCTCTGTGCTCATTTCTTGTTGTTTCGGGACGGTTCCAGGTATATGGTAATGTACAACAAGCAGTAGTCTAATCACCACTGTACTAATTTTAGTCAGTTTGATAGTTATTTGTGGTTTTGCGTATCTTACAGTCTAAGTGAGTGCGTTCTTCTCAGGACAGTTGGGGTCCTGGATACCAGCACCTATCATTAACAGTCTGAAAATTGATTGTTTGTATTGTGAAATTTATAAAGCGATAATTTGAGTGCTAAGAGAAGACAGTTACTCTTAGAATTAAAAACAAGTTAATTGATTGGTAATGTGTAAGAATTGGAAGAATAATATGTGGAACGGAGATGGTAATAAGCGAGATAAGTAGTTACTGATATGAGGTAATGATAACCGTGATAATTTGTGAGAGATGCCAAAGTAGGTAGATTAGCAGAACAGAAAGAAGGATAAACTTTTGATTCCACCAACATATCTCATAAAGCTGTAGTGGCTTAGCTTCGTTAACCAATCACCTTGATAACCGTTATGTAAATTCCACGGTGTTTGAAATCATAAGACAATAAGAACCAGCGATTATAGTTTATTAGCGAACAGCACGGATAAAAAAAGCTACAAGCAAATCGAGAGAACTTGAAGCAGAGAGGCGAATATGTGCATGCGAGCGAATACAGAGGCAAATTTATAGTCAAATCCAATCAAGGCGCAGCTAGGCTAGGTAAAGGCTAATAATAAGATTCGAGTACATATATACATGTGAAAGAGAATGACTCATCGAGAGATATTTAAGATATTAACATTTTAGTTAGAGAGAGATATGTGCGTAGGCTGTCACATATAATCATAATAGTACAAAGAAATTTGAGAATCGTTACTGTTCGGATAACATTGTCTGTTAAATAAGTTAATACAATGTCCTAGCAAAATTTAAACATAATCGAAATCGAGTGTAGGAGACTTGCTATAATGTCTTGGGTTAGTGGGATTACATGCTTTGAGAAGTGCTGTTGAGGTACATCTCTGTGACACAGGGAATCAAGGTGATAAACTGATATCTTTCACCATCATCAATCAATAGTCAAATTCCATTCCTCACAAATTTGCCCAAACTATAGCCATCAAACTACTAGTGCCCGACTTATGACAACAGCAACAGCAGAAGTATTATGAAAATGAATAGCGAACAAATTGCAATACCTTAACAATGTGACAGGAACACCTTTTGCCTAAGATAAATTATGAAATTACTACTTCACATCTGTGTGGAATGATGTGCATCTGATTGAATTGATTATTATTTTTTTTCAAGACTTATCGACCAATCTATACATGGTACAGTTATAAAGTAAACAACATATTTTTCTAACATTCTTTATAGAAAACTTTATTATTTGACCTTAGTATTCATCAAAAATAGAATACTATAATAATTAGTAAAGTGGTCAGTAATAATCTTGTTAATTAATTTTCATTATACACAGTATATAAAAGGATAGTCTATGTCTAAAAGATTGTTATATCTACGATAGACAGTTACAAAATTCTCTCTGTTTCACTTATCATCTTCTACAAGCAAGGAGTGCAGAATGAAACAGATTTACACTGGTGAGATTATTTCATAAGACTATATTGTTTTGTTCTTTTTATGCGTTAATACACTTTCAATGGTCTATTTTGGTGTTCCAGATTATACATATTTTGTCTACATCTACTATTTCTAGTTAAAAAAAGTTAGAAAATATTTGTTATTCATTAGTAATTATGTTACTGTTTGTATCGGTATTCTCATAAAAATCATATTTTATAAGAGATCAGTAACACATTTCGACTAATGGATGTAACGGACAACTAATGACAGTTAGTCTTCCTCATTTCACTTCAGTTAGTATCAACATCAGACTATTTGACTAAACCCAAAATGGTCGTGTACTACGCTAACTACCATTTAGTAATTGACTACCACAACAAACAAATTTCTTTTTTTGCCGAACAGTGATTTCTTACCACTTGTGACAGTTCGAATCAATTCCGTTTATTGAGTGTTTGGGTGTGAAAATGCTACTTACATAAAATTAAGTGCATTGCAAAGACAAAATTAAGACATGGTGTGTTATTTTTTAGGTCAACATAGGGTTAATAAGGAAAATCCAAGGTTTATCCATGCACCTCATCATTGAATATATTTTTTCCAATGTATTGTTAAATACCAGTTGACAATCATAACCTTGGAAACTGAGGCTTGACTTCACGTTCTTGAGCCAGTGGACTAAATATCACTCAAATCAACACACTCGTGCAATGGACGGGCAAAGTACACAGTTTCTCATCTAAGCTTGTGGTGAAATGAGTCATATGGATGGATATCAATATTACAATACTAAGTTTCACAAACAATAAACAGTTCCAAACTTTATTAAAGTAGCTCGTTTTGAAAAACTCTGTTAACTGATATCAAATATGACTATTGCCTTACAAATTATTTCCTCAGTTATCTAATCTCTGATAGAAATTAATAGAATACAGTATACTTTAAAAGTGAAACTTAAAGATAGGTGTTTTGCAATTCAATTATCATAAACCCATATTTAAAATGTGTATTTAGTCATCCACCCATCTTTCCACATCAGTTTGATACCAGTTTTCAAAATTAACACACTCAAGACGATTGACAAAGTTGACAGATAAGATGATATATCAATGTCAAATTATCAACTATCAAAATAGAAAGTAAAAATGGATACATGCTGTCATTATTAGTGTGTTTGACTTCTCTCTCTGAGTGTTAAATGACTATTTTATTAGTGAATTCCCTGCTCTTTGTACAGCTAGATCATAAGAAGTATTACTTACTGTGTTACCAGCTAATATATTCATGTTTTAAGAGCAATAAACACTTTCATTGTTGATTTCAACTAAATAAGTATGAAAGTAAAACGTTTTAGTGAATATCCAGGAGTTATCCACTTTCCTCCTATTATCACGTAGTAAACAGGTCACCTTAGTCTTTTTTTTACATAAAATGACTGGAACATGTTTAAGAGGTAGAATTTATCAAGTGTATATTGAACAAATGAACTGAAAACTTGAGGTTGATAAGAATTCAAAATGCAGTTTATTCTCACAATAATTTCATTTACTTTTAATAAAGCCAGTACGTATAAGAAATCCATAATAGATTCAGGTTCATGAATACGACTAAATAAGTTAAATTGAAGTGTTCTGATTCTGTTGATCCCGAAGTTCCCTGTAATTCGTTGTAATATGATGTCTTAAAAATAGTTGTTGTTTTAGTGGTCATAGGTACTCGGATTTTAGAAAGTATTCATATTTAATTTCTAAATCATTTTGAGTTCATAAGCAAAGATGGATAGTGGCTAGCAGTGGAATCCAGGATACGCGTTTCGCCCTATCTGGGACTCGTCAGTTGGATGTACCTGCATCTCAGAGTTGACAACAGACTGATTAATTCCAGTCTTAAACCTCAATGGGAAGATACAAGCAAGACAACACCAAGTGCATTTTGAGTTCAGTTTACAATCATCAGGGAAAATATATGCACAACAACAGAAATGTAACTGCATTTGCAAATATAACCATAAATGTAAACCAAAGTTTCTTCCTCGTCAACGGAATTTACATTGATTTTTAAAATTATGAACATATCCATATCTGGTATAATTAGAATATGTGCACCATATATTATATAAACTCGGAGTTTAACTCAGTTTGAAAAGATTCTTGAATATTTTATCAGTGATAAAAGTATACCCAAATGAAGTTAGCAATCACTGCCATTTACTCAATTTTGAACGTTCATTTTAATACCGTTTATCAGTTTCATACATAAATTAAATCCAATAGTTAAACAATTGTTTCAACCAGATTCTGAATTATGTTGGCATTTTGCAAAACTCTGTGAAATTATTTACGTGTCTTTCTTATAGATAATTCAATACTTCCTCCTGACTACCCAATGGTCGTCACAGATCAACCAACGTCAAAAGTAACATTCAGTGATATACCAGTAACTTTACGTTGTCCGTCATGTGGACTAAATACTTTAACAACTTTGGAGTACAAAAATGGTTTATTAACTTACTTAGCTTCTGGTGGTATATGCCTAATTGGGTAAGTTAATGTTTTATCTGGTGTTATTTAGTAGACATTACATAATAGAGTAATAGGATGTCCATAATTAACATAAAAGTTGAATAATAATGATCTATCATACATAAACACATTGACATGAGCACATTTGAACGTATTGTGTTTTGTGTTTGGAGTTAGTCTCGGAGTAATAATAATTAAAGTACAAATTGAAAAGTGTTCTTAAAACATCAATGTGTATGTAAATGAGAAAAATCAATAGCATAGTTGTGATGTTAAAATATTCAAATTACTTTCGTACTTTCGTACCATTATTTCAACTTTTAATGAACAAAATAATTAGCGTGTTTTATTTAGTAGGCAGAAACTGCATCTATTTACCAAATATTAATTATGAATAACATAAAGGTACACATACACTCACATTCATTGTTTTTCACACTGTAAAATGTTCGCATTATTCACATCTTACTGACTCACACTTACTTACTTGCTAAAATCAATATCTGAATAGGGTTGGATAAGTGTTTTGTGATTTCATTCTTTGATGATTTTGATTATTTCACTGAAGAAATTCAGACAAGACTCTTGGATAAAATGTTAGAATTACGTAGATTTCAAATGATATAGATGGAGTAGTATACGTTGAGTAGAGTAATTATAACCAGGATTCTTATTGGATAATCTAACGGTAATCGCTGTTGATTTCGATATCATAACAAATATAGTTTCTTCTTGGTTTAATTTACTAGCACTGGGTTATCGAAAATTATCCAATCGGACTGCTCCTATTTGATCCTGTCTCCATGATGAATCAGTCAAGTCTCTGCTTCTAATATAACTAGGGTCTACGATATGTCGGTCTTTATGTGAAAACAATTTGTCTTTTGAAAATGTATGGTTTTGAGAATGAAATGTATTTTTTAGTAAAGAGGACTCTTGGCTGAACCAATAGTTTTGTGTGTTAGTCACAGTGTATTTATTTCGTTTATTTGAAAATTTTAATGGTTTAGTTTTCATAGGATGGTTCAATGCTACGATACTCATCATTAAGATAATAAATAAACTGAGATAAAATTGTATGAAACATTTCAGCTAATCCTTGTGAGAAACAAAATGAATAAAATATATTAAATGTAAGTGACTTGAAAACAGATTCACAGTCAGCTGAGTAGTGATAGTATCTTCGATTACTCGATTATTGAAACCTTGAAAGTTGATTGTAACCTGATTACAGGTTCCCTGATAGTTTGATGATTGAGTCTATTGGAAAAATTTTGTATATATATTCATCATTGGATTGAAGATCCTTAATATTCCCTTTGATCTGACCATATATTTATTCGAGTAAAATGGTCAGATAACAAACGAATTATCGTCAGATAATTTTTTTGTAGGATGAAGTCGATGTAAGAGTTTAGTTGAAACTATGCAACACAACTATGATTAGATACATTTCTTTGGTCAACCTCTTACTTTATGTAAGAAATCAATTTTCCTATTGACGTTTTATTTTTCTCACTTTTGTTAATCCTTCATTTTGATGGCTTTAAAATAAACAGACACCTAATGTGGTTACTTGTACCACATAGGCTGTTCTATTAAATCGTTTACATACATGAACTACATAGGACAAGGTAAAAACGGTAATCCCTTTCAAATCTGTCCGCCGTTTCGTTTCAACGACCTTGAACGCGCTGACTGGAAGCGGGCATTCCGTATTTCAATTGCCGTGTGTGTGTTGGGTCCTATGAGTATTAACTGTTTCCATATATAAGTCATCTTTTGATGCATAATAAACACTAAATAACTGCTAAGAGCATTAACTGAGTATTTTCTGTTTTGTAGTGCACACTTTAGCTCTGTTATTCCTTCAAAACTTGATGTGTGGTCCTAAGTGCTGTAGTGAAAGTCAACAGCTATATATTATTTGTTGATAAGGTCCAGAAAACAACGTAAGAAAGATAAAATAACGTAAAAGGTTATAGATGCGCATAGTTTTAGTGAGTTAAGACGAAATGTCAACTGAAGGGTAAGTCCTAAATATTTGTTGTTCTTCCTTCAGTTAATTTTTTTCAAGGAATAACCTTTTTTTAATGGCTATTGTATGTTGTCTCTAGTGCTTCATGCTCAAGTGAAATTTCAGTGAACGTAAGCGACGCGTTCCAACGTATTATGCTGAATAAGAGATTCGGAAGCTGGATTGAATTAGATAATGCGCTAAAGGATTTCCATAAAGTATGATGGGATAAATCTATGTTTTCTCAGATGACCCATACACACTATGTTCACGCAGAAAGTAGATTGTTGAAGGATGTGAGATATAAATACTTGTTCGTAGTGTTTCGTTGCACGTTTGGTCGTAAACGTAAATCAGAAGGTCTGAATGTGAATAAAAAACCGTGAGGACTCTAACTAATGTGTTACCTTTAAGGTCTAAATTTTTAAATTGCCAATCGATGTTTCGCGTAAGATTGGAGGGTCAACAATACGTTATAAAATCTTACAACATGACTCACAACCATCCGTGTACTAGTTCGTGGATGGTTTGTGATCCGTTGAGTAGACGATTGTCATCAGAAGAAAAAGAAAACTTGAAACCAGTTATATTGCACTGTCAGTCGACGGACGAAGTTATCGAAAGTATTAAGGAAAGAACAGGTAAGCAGGTGACCGCTGCTGATGTCAAAAATATGAAAGCTGAACTCTCCACTGGTAAGTGTATATAAATATATTTCAGGTTGGACTCGGAAGCAGGTATTGCAGATGATGCGACAAAACGGTGAAGTTAGAGAGCATGCAGAAAATGGATGTATTACGGCGATATGCTTCAGCAGTTATGATCAGATACGGCTGTACAATCAATATCCCGAAGTCGTGTGTATTGATTCTACTTATAAAACTAATAATAAAAAGTGAATATGATTTTCGTTTTGTTCTACTATGTAGATATTCATTATTCCAGTTAGTGGTGACAGACAATTGGGGTCGAGGTCGAACTGTTATGTTTGCATGGACACAAAAGAAAAGCGTGCCGAATAATCGTGTTGAGTCATTAAATAGGCAGATAAAAAGATATGTACGCAAAAGCGACAGCTTGCACAAATGCATGTACAAGGCTTTTAAGTGGAGTTCAATGACATTCTCTAGAAAAAGCATTGAAGACCAAATAATCAGTGGACGAACATACAATTATGATGCTCCACAGCGTCTTATCCCCTTACTTAACATGTTGACCCCATTCGCAAGATCCAAAGTGTTATACGAACTTAAAAAAATGCGTTTCGTTAACTTAGAATATGAAAGCGGCGAGTGGTTGTTTATGCTTGACCGCGGACAACATTACGAAGTGGATGTAAGTATTTGTGAATGCAATTGTAGCACGTTTAATATGTGTCGATATCCGTGCCGCCATCTCCTGCTGGCATATATTAAAAGACGAAATCTAACAGGTAAGCTATTTAAATTATAAAATATAAACTGCATAGCTCATCAACTTCTTAGGTGTTGCTGCAGATGGAAATTAGACAATACGCACAATTTACAAAACAACACAGGAATTTCATTACGGAGACGGAGTAAAGAATATATACAACTTCAACGGCTCCAAAGAATGTGCAAACAACGAATTGTTGAGAAATATGGTGAACGCTTCGCGAATCAGGTGGAGAGAAAGGTCTACAATTTTTACTTAAGAATTATAAACAGCTAGACAGCAGGTTTACGATTAACAGTTCTTTGTGGCTTTATTTTATACCACTATTTATACAACTTGTAAACTTATCTTTCCACTTTAGTAGTCATGAAAAATCAATAAACTTTTTCTCATTTTTTATTTTCGTCTTCTTCATACTTTCATGGGGAGGTTTACCAATCGCTTTAACGAATAATTGTGTGTGAAAATTAAGAATTTGTACTACTGTATTAGTTACGAACTGTCGTTAGAACTTAGCGTTATATCGTTGTTCATTGTGAGGAATCAACGAGTCAAATAAAACAATAATGCGACTTCCACGTAAAACCTTACAGATTAAACAACCGCCTTACATATTTTCCGTTGTCAGATTACGTCCATTATCAAGTTAGTATTAGTATGGAACTAGACAATTTCATGCAGCTAGTTCCTTGATAAGATGGATTACGTAATCCTTAGACCACCCTTCCACTCACACTTCTTTGCTAAATTATGTTAACTCTTCAGATTGTCTTCACTTATCTTATTAGTTCTTAATTCACTGATTTATTCATTACATCTAGAATTATCACACAATTTATCTTATATGCTTCTGAGCTTCACTCGACTATTACACCACCCATCCTTTATGTTCCCTTAAGTCTAACACCAAATGACCTTTGACCTGTTCAAGCATATACATATGTATAGTTATTATTGATAACCTAGGTCATTCCAATTCTTTGCTTTCTATTATCTTTAATACTATTTCTTCCCTCAATCTTAAATTATAATGCATATTCAGTTGTATGCAACTTATAAGAAACCACGAAATGTAATGCAGTCACATGATTGTGCGTCAATATTTGTTTTGGCTTTATTTAGACCATAATTATACAAACTTACAGGATTTATAATATAAAACACTGCGTATGGTTGTTATATTTATATTTAAATAATTCATTAGATGAATGAGCATAGCAGTAGGCAATATAAAACAGTTATCGTAAACTTGTAAACCGGTTTTCCACACGATCTTCCGTAATCCTAAATTCCATAAGCTTCATACTATTCTGAAAAACAACAAATCCGTTTTGAGACAAACAATTAAACTTTGTTCTCAGTATCATATTCAATAAGTTATTCAAATAGCAAGTAACAGACTATGCCTATAAGTCTTTTATTAACAAGTAGTGACATTCATTCATAACTTCCTAAGTAACACAACAACTGTATTACCGAAACGGAGTGAAGAGTATATAATAACTCATTTGTGAACCCTATAACAGACACGTCACAAATCAGTATTAACTAAAAAACATGGTTGTGTCACCATTCTCACAAGAAACACCGATCGTTTTATTCATGAAGATTTTGTTCCTACTTGATGTGGTGTTATACACTATTACTGCAGACGTTCAGAAAGCCGCTGGACAACACTATAAACGTCAATTGTTACTCACATATTTTTTTCTCAGATACGTTACATAATTATGTCACTTCAGTACAAAACAATGGTACCTCTAATGGATATAACTTTTTATGGCTAAATACAAACAAGTTATATAATATTCACAATTAGGTTAACGCTTGATTGCTTCTACTTACATTTTATAAACAACTACCGACATCCATGTTCACCGTCACCGCAATCAAGGAGGTGAACCATATGTAAAAGATTTTACGGTTCATTTTCATGAAAACTCAATCTGTGATGTATTTTTTGACTAGAAACACGGTGAACTTTACTTGCTTGAGTTTGTATTGTTACAAATAACTATATTAAGCTAACTTCAGATTTACTTACGTGGTGAGCAAGAAATACGTCAAACTGCCAATAAATTGGAATAAAAACTATGTTACAAGCACTAGCAATACAGAAATTGATGTGTCATGCAAAAAAGCCTGTTAATAGCTGATAAATAACGACACAAAAAATCCACGACAATATGTAACGTGTGCGCGAAAATCCGTGGCTTACCCGCCAGTCCGTGCCACTACATAGTCATACAGCTCTTTCGAAATGTGCATCGGTTGTTCTGTTTCCTGAAGATTTAAATTAAACACAGTGGTTGGTATTAGGACAACTTATTCAAGAAACACTTTGCATAAACAAATCAGGAGTGACATATATGGAACGCCATTGTATATGATATATATTCTACAGTAATAACA